GATCATTTCACATGGAAAGTATCCCTGTGATACCTTTGTATGGCAGTTTATGAAGCTCTTCAATATTATTTTGTTATAACAGTCCTGGAAGTAGAACAGGTATTTTTGATCTCTCATCATCAGCATGCATTAATAATCTTTTTTTCCAGCATACCTACTGCCTTAGCTAAAGATGTAAATCATTAAAATTACAGCTAAAAATAATTTGCTGGAGCCAATGTATGTAACATGTTTTATACTATTTTTACAAAGGGAAGATGGTAAATTTATTGACTTACAGCTAGGAGTTAATATGAAAAATACAATACAGAATTTTTCAGAATTACTATGGTATAAATAGTGCTGATCATGAAATATTTTGTAGGTTGTTTTTATTGTAGAAGACATTTAGATTAAACCTAAATTTTTTTTTCCTAATTGACAGTAATTTTTCAGAGAAGAGTATACTGAGAGAAATTGTAGAATCTTTCATTAGAGGCTTTAAAAGTCCAGTAAAAACTCAAGACTAATTCCAGGGATTTAGAACTGTGTGAAGATGGCTTAAATAGCTTTTCTAAGTTATCAGTCTGGGGAGGGGGGGTGGCGAAGAGGAAATAGTGGAAGAAAAGTACATGCTAGTGGCATCAAGGACAGTGACTGCCCTAATCTCTTAAAGTACTTTTACACCATACTCTGGGCTTCCTAAAATGAAGAAAAATGACTTGGTAGAATGAAGGGGGGGAAATCGGAGAGGGAGACAAACCATGAGAGACGATGGACTCTGAGAAACAAACTGAGGGTTCTAGAGGGGAGGGAGTTGGGGGGATGGGTTAGCCTGGTGATGGGTATTAAGGAGGGCACGTACTGAATGGAGCACTGGGTGTTATACGCAAACAATGAATCATGGAACACTACATCAAAAACTAATGATGTATGGGGATTAACATAATAAAATAAAATTTAAAAAGAATATATCATAACCTGACACACTAGCACAGTGACCCAGATTATAAATGGATAAGTGATAATAAATGGAAAAGTGGGGAGACATGAAGTAGCTTTTGGATAGTAGTAGCAACAATGGGGGGATCTCACAGCTTACATTCCACTTTTTGCTAAGCTTCCCATTACCTCCATACTAGAAGGAGGTAAATTGCATCTCCTTTGAGCCCATTTTCTCACTAGAAAATTTGCAGTCTTATTGTTACTTAAAGTGCAGTGTTAATAAAAGGTGACATTTCCTGGCATTAAAAAAAAAAAAGTCTTGCAAATCTGTCACACTAAGACTCCAGCCTGGACTTTTAATTTTCCCCTTACTATTTTAAATTAATTTCAGTTTTCTTTTAATTCTCAGTGATCATTTTTCCGTAAGTCTTGATGTTTTAAATAATTTTGTGCCACCAAGTTACCTACCTTCATTGTAAAACCCAGATTTCAACAAGAAATGTATTTCAAAAACAGTTGTCTTGAATATTTAAAGTTTCTTAGAACAAATTTTCTATCACCTTTGAATATTTTGGTGAAGTTTTCATGAGATTGTTGAATTGTATATTGACATTGTAGAGGTGTATTTCAGAAGAAGCTTTTCTGCAAAAATGAAGTATTAAGCTTAGACTGTTGTGTTTAGATTGATATATCAAATTTAGGTAGATTGGTAGTTTATATTTCATGAATTAATAATTTTCCTTAAAATGTCAACAGGGAAATATGAGTAATAGATGACTTAGAACTTAATTCTGGAAGTGTCAGTAGTGTGTAATCTATCTGCATGTCTAACATTCTTTTTTCTTTTTATTTATTTATTTATTTTTTCTTTTATTTATTTTTTTTATTCTTATGTTAATCCCCATACATTACATCATTAGTTTTAGATGAAGTGTTCCATGATTCATTGTTTGTGCATAACACCCAGTGCTCCATGCAGAATGTGCCCTCCTCAATACCCACCACCAGGCCAACCCATCCCCCCACCCCCCTCCCCTCTAGAACCCTCAGTTTGTTTTTCAGAGTCCATCGTCTCTCATGGTTCGTCTATACCCATACTCTCTTACAGCATTTTCTTTGAAATGAGTAAATGTATTTTTTTAATTCCTTAGTATTTCTTAACCTCATATGTACAAAATATCATACCAAGTATAATGGCAGTGGTTCACAAAATACCTAGAGATCTCTTGGACTCTAACAAAGTCAAAACTATATTCATGACAATACTAAAATATTGTCTTTTGACTCTTACTCTCACCTAGCATACATTACTCTGAAGGCTAATAGAATAGGGGATCATGTGTTCTTGTTCTTTTTAAAACAGTTCTTGTTTTTTATTTCTGATATGTTGAATATCAGTTGATATAATCCAAATAAACAAAAGGTCTTTGTGGTCCTCAGTAATTTCTGAGTTTACTGTAAAGGGGTCCTGAGACCAAGAAGATTGAGAACTTTTTCAGTGTGGGGATACAAAGTTCAAGACAATTCTATCAAATAGGAGTATTTTAATAAACAGAAGATGACGGTAAGAGTCAAGAGATGGACAGGGAAATGCCAGGGATTTAAGAAATTGTTTAGATTAATTTTGGTATCTAATTATAATTAGTTGTACAGTTAAATTATTTTGGTTTAGTGGGCCCTGAAAATTGTTTGTCTAGTAGAATTGGAAATGAAACCAGAAATTAAACTGATTTAATTTTTTATTGTGGACAAAAGCTGCTCAAATGTCTTTCTTTAATGGATTTAAAAAAAATCTTTTGAAGGAATTTGAGGATTGTTACTGAACTTTTTTCTTCTGCATGCCATGTATTGTTGTTGGTGTTTGTTTTGGGCCACTGACTGGAACCCATTAAGACCAAGAAACTTAACAGAATTTTAAGTTACTTTTTCCACTGAAGAGTAGCAAATTAAAGGCAGGGAAACAAGGGAATGATTTGACAATGTAATGCCTACATCTGGAGTTTCTGCCACCAATTATTGAATAATTGTGTTATCAACTTTAGTTGAATGCTATGTACACTGAGCCACAACTATCTGAAAAATACTTTCAAGGAATGATAATTAAAGGAGGAGGGGGAGAGGTCATTTTCATTGGCAGCAAATTAAGCTATCCATTGAATATTTAATGGAAACAACCTATAAAGTATAATGAGAGCTACAGTATTTAATATGGGGAAGTTTGAAATGCTGTAGAATAGTTGGTTGCAAAGGTCCACCACAGTAGTGGATCCAAAAAGGCATCAAAGACTACTAAAGACATGAGAAGTTTTTATTTTAAAATTAGATACTTGTTTCTGGGTTTTACTTTTAAAATAAAAAAGGATGAAAAATAAATAATACATAAAATGGATGAGCGGATGGAACAAGATTGGCCATGAGTGCCATGAGTTAATACTTTTTAAACCAGTGTGATGGGTGTGTGGGGTTTGTTATTCTAGTCTCTTTTTTTTTAATGTTGGATATTTTCCATAACAAAGAGTTAAAATATAAAAAAGAAAATGGAGAAGTAAGAAGAAGGGGGAATCTGGAAAAGTGGGCCAAAAGCACTAAAGCTCATCCACAAAAAGATTGAAAAAAAATATTATTCCACTATTGAACTGCTCAGAGAGAAGAGAGAAAAAGAAATTGGAGGGAGGGGCGCCTGGGTGGCTCAGTCGTTAAGCATCTGCCTTCGGCTCAGGTCATAATCCCAGGGTCCTGGGATTGAGCCCCCGCTTAGGGCTCCCTGCTGGGCAGGAAGCCTGCTTCTCCCTCTCCCACTCCCCTTTGCTTGTGTTCCCTCTTGCTGTCTCTCTCTCTGTCAAAAAAATAAAATCTTAAAAAAAAAAAAAAAATTTGTAAGTCAAACTGCAGATATTAAGAATTGTGACTCTTAACCCTTCAGACTGTCAATGAAATCAGTTTCTATAAAGTAAAAAGATTAAAAAAAAACTTGGCTAAAATATTAAGAGATCTGAAACCAAAGGCAACATCACATCCTTATGACATACACAAGAAGGCTGGTGGAAAGAGAAAAGAAGAAATAGAATATGAACTTAACGGGACAACAGTACTAAGGGCCATTTCTATCCAGGTATGTCATGCATTAACTTCATGTAGGTTGGATGTTTCCTTTTTCATGGGAAGGAGAAAAATATAATTAATTAGTGAACTAGTATTTATTGAGATATAAACTAGAATGGAAGAATTGAAGGGAGGGAAGGATTTTGAGTTTATTCTTGAATAAGATGGTGAGACAAAATTCTCTCTAGAATAAATGACTGGCATATCTTAAAGATGATAGAACAATAGTAAGACTGGAAAAGAGAACAATTGAAATAAGGAAATGTTAAAACTGGTAGGCAAAAGGTGGGAAAAGACTGAAAGAGAAAGCTTGCGTGTTAACAGTGACATTTTCTCAGTCTTTCTACTGGGGAAATGTTGTCTTTGAGAAATTTGTTGTGTTCATTATGACTACTTGAGTGTGAAATTAAGGCAAATAAACTTTGGTAAGATTTTCTTTAGGTCATTTGAATGAATTAATTATAATTAAATAATGATGTGTTCCAGGTGATATGTCTCCAAGAACTGAAGAACTTACTATATTTGTTTCATAAACTGTAATTGTCTGATTTCAAGTATGCGTTTATGAAGAAGCACTTGTATAACAATGTGTTGAGTTATTGTTGAAGATATTTATTTTAGATGTGCCTTCTTGCTATAAACCATGGAAGTGAATTTTTCAAGTTTCTGACTTAGAAATATCATATTCTTTATGCTTTGTTTGCTTTTCCATAGGAAATGGAATGTTATGTATTTAATTTTTTAGCATACTACAGGTATGTACCTTAGCCCTAATATTTAATGATTTCATTGAAACCAGTTAATTTTCTCTAATTACTACATTATCAGCAAAACATTTTTCTAAATGTTATAAAAATTGACTTTCAGGAACCATTTGGAATGGTCAGCCCTAAGCCATGCAGCCATCGTGCTTAAATTGGTTTTTGTAAACGACTTGTGTGTGTTTCGTAAAATATGCTTTATTTTAAAATTAGGGCTTCCTGTTGCAGCTGTTCCAGGAGCTCTGAGTCCTTTGGCTATTCCAAATGCTGCTGCAGCAGCTGCTGCAGCTGCTGCTGGCCGAGTGGGTATGCCTGGAGTCTCAGCTGGTGGCAATACAGTCCTGTTGGTTAGCAATTTAAATGAAGAGGTTAGTAAAATAATTTTCTGATGTTTATTCTTTAACTCCATTTCATTTGTGAAAGTTTCTCATGTTTATTTCATTTTGCACTTGCCTTTCTTTTTATGTACATTCATTAGTCAAAGTATTTTCTGTATGTTTCTACTTCTGAATAAAATCTATGTACTTGTTTAGGTAATAATTTCCTTAGACAGTCATATCTCTTTATATATATAATTATTATTATTATTATTATTTTTAACCTAACTACCTATTTTTCCTAAGAAAAATATGGTGAAGTACTAAAGTATGGCTTTTTCTTTTTGTTGTTCTCAAAGGCAAATGTGATCTAATTTGCAGATTTAATTGTAAAACAATTTTGTTCTTTGCCTTTTCTAATTATTTGCTTGTTCATTTCATGCTTATGTGTCATTGCATTTTTTTAAATCTTATTTTATGTGAACTACTCTAATACATTTTTCTTTGAAGGTTCTTCCAAAGATCTTGACGAGGCACTCTTCCAGTCTTTCTTAGTAATTTTTTCTTTGCAGTTATTAGTCATTGTCTTCTAAAAATATTTTTCAACTTTATCCCCTCCCCCCCTTGTTAAATAAAATTTATTGCTGAGTTATTTTCTTTAGTTGTACATTTTATGTCTGGTATATTTTATTTTGATTGCTATGAAAGCTGGTATGAAATGTGGGAAGCTCAATGTATCAGTTTACAATGTCTAATTTGAATATTTGTTTCATTTTTAATTGGCCTCTGTTAATACGAACATTAAGCTTATTTTATCATTTAATACTATTGTCATTCACAGTTCTGCATGCTAAAATGTTTGAATCAGAGTGCCTTTGTTTTTCTTTTAAGAATTTTGCCTGCATTTCATAACCAGCCATGCTTATGCAGTTAAAGTTCAAAGTTTAAAATTCCTGTGCATGCTTTCCTTCCCTATGTTGAGATGAAATGCTGTAATTTACTCTTTGATATAGATGTACTTTACCCATATTTGTCTTGGATGACTACATTTTACTCAGTTTTTCTTGTACAGTACATAAACCAACCATTTTCTGACCAAATTCCTGCATTTCCTATGTACTGACCTATATTTTATTTTTTTTTTGTTCCCCAATTCCTTATTTTTTTCTTCTGCATTGCTGTTTCCCTTCCCCATTTCATCCTTTTCCCCTGTGTGTTCACCTTCCCTTTCCTTGTCTTTTCCCAAATGCCCATTCCCTTCCCTGTCTTATCCTTTATTTTCCTTGTCCTTGTCTTCATTCCCTGTCTCCATTCCCTATGTTCATGCTTCTGTGCTTGAACAAATGTTCCTCGGACCAACTTGCCCCAATTAACCGCCTTGAACCATGATCCATGACCACCTCACCATTCTGCGGGAACCACCCTTCGTTATGGATGATCTGTTCATCTCCGCTCTTCCTCGACTCTTCTCTCTTCTTGTCTTACGCTGCTTGCTCTTCTCTCCTTCTAAAGATGGTTACGCCCCAAAGTCTGTTTACCCTCTTCGGTATGTTATTGTTAGCACTATACTTTTATTATTGATTTGATTTTTGTTTCACCTTAATTCTTATTTGTAGCTAGCACTTTGGCTTAAAGTTGAATAGTAAATCTTTTGCTATTTTTCTTTGCTATTTAAAACTCTCCATAGACACAAAATTTGTTTTAATGCATGCTGATTTATTTTGCATGGTCTTTAATTTAATATCATTCACATAGCTTTGAGGGTTTATCAGAAATTATTCTTTTCAAAATTCACTGTTCAAAATCTTGATCTTCTTTATTCATTTGTGAGAATGATGAGTTTGAATGAGTGATCATGTTGATGTCTGAATGTTTCATTAATATGTCAGAAAGATAATCTTCAGCTGACTTGCATGTAAAATTAATTCCATTTTTGGATTACCTCTCTGTGGCTCCAAAAAAGGTGTTTATGGAGATGTGCAGCGTGTGAAGATTTTGTATAACAAGAAAGACAGTGCTCTGATACAGATGGCTGATGGAAACCAATCACAACTTGGTAAGATTAAACTTGTGTGTTAGCTGTACATCTTTAAATCTGAATCTGTTAATAAAAACAAACCCCCTTGTGGCAGTAAGAAAACATTTTTTTTCATAGCCAGGCTCAAAATGTCATGTTAATTTTCATGTTTTAATGTATTTATACATGATGAACATGTTTGCATATTCTGCTGTCCTCTTACCAGTCCTCAAGTACAATCTAATGGAAAACGGTTTGGGCTCCAGTTTCACATAATAATGATAGCGTTTATATTAAAGATCTTTAGTGTTTTTCTTTCCTGGTTACTCTCTATAATAGAAGTTAACCGTTCATATAGTCTAAGGAATCCTAATTTTAATTATTCTAAGTATTTGTCTAAACTTAGTAATGGAAAGAGTCACATGGAAAATGTATTTTAGAGATACCAGGTTTTTACAAAATGAAAAACTTGTGCCACATACACCATTGTTAATCCCTTTTGGAATCTTAAAATGTACTTGATTACACATATATTCTTACTTAGGTAAGTATTTTAATTAATGTATCATGTGACTTTATATACAATGTCAGATCACATAAATCTGGAATACAACTGCATATTCACAATGTGGTAAGACTGTAAATACCATCATGTTCTTAGCTTATAATTCTGTTTATTGAGATTCAGGGATGATGATGCCTCACATTGGTTTTCACATTGTTAATTTTGAAGTTTGTTATTTTTGAGGTAAGGGCTGTGATTTTTGCTATTAACACCCAGTAAAACTCATAAACTTGAACAATGTGATATTATTTGGCCTTTGGTAGCAGATAGAAGTAAGTGTGAATTTCATTGTTTCTTACCAGCTATCATGGTAGCCCAGACAACATATAAAACTATACATCAGGCTCTCCACTTTTTTAAGATTTTTATTTTATCTATTTAACAGAGAGAGAGAGAGAGAGCACAAGCAGGCAGAGCGGCAGACATCTTCAATGAAAGATTTATAAAAGTGCTAATCATGTCCTAGATGCCTCGTAAATGTTTTCTTCTGCTGTGTATACTTCTGTGCTTGGGTAGGGGTAGTCATGGCCATTTTTTTTTATGTACATTGTAAGTAGCATTTTACAAAGCATTAAAGCTTTCTCAAATGTTTCATTTTTTTCTCATCACTGTGTGAGCTGTGGATGGCATTACCCTTCATATAGAGGATATACAGGCATCATAGTTGAGAAGTTCCTGAGGTAGAATTCAACCAAACTCTTCTGGATATTTTTTATATAAGGACTATTTTAAATAAGTGACATTTTAATTTTTACTGTAGTTGCATTAGTTTACTTGGGCTGTTAAAACAAAATACCACTGAGTGGCTTAAACAACAGAAATTTATTTTCTCAGGTGTCAGCAGATTCACTTTCTGATAAGGTCTTTTTCTTCCTGGCTTGCAGATGGCTAACTTCTCCATGTGTCCTCACATGGACTTTCCTCTGAGCTCTCTAAGTTTCTCTTCCTCTTAACAAGGACACTAATCTAATTGGATGAGGGCCTCATCCTTATGACCTCATTTAACCTTCATTATCTCCTTAAAAGTCCCTGTCTCTGAATGGTCATATTATAGGATTAGAGCTTTAATTTATGACTTTTGGGAGAAAACAGTTCGGTGCATAACAGTACTTAACATTTGTAAATCTTTTACTCCTGCTTTTTGTAAGATCTTTTTAATAAAGCTTTGACATGATTTATAGTTTTTAAACTGTATTTAATAGTAAATGATTTCTCATTGCTAGATTTTGCTTTTTTGAAGTAGATGACCATAAAAATATGTACTCACACCATTAATGCCTTTAATATTGAAAAAAATCAGAATTTTTAAAATTTAATATGCTTTATTTCTGGGTACTGTTCTCCTTTTGGTTTTCATAGGACTCTATTTGGAAATACTCATTGCTTCATGATATAGGTAGATTTTTTTTTTTTTTATGCTTAGGAAGTAGTATGGGGGAAATACAGAGAATTAAGAGATAGTAGTGTTTAAATGTGAAGGAGATGGTTGCAAGCCTTAGAGGCCATGTTATCATTTGAGACCACAGTTTTAAAATTTGCAAACATGAAGATTTTTTTTAATAAACATTCTACCATGCCTAATTTGTGTATGTTATCCTTAAATGAACTTTAACAGAATTTTAACAAAATACCGAAGTAGTAGTTCCTTCATATTAAACTTTTTTTTTATTATATAACTCCCATCTCAAAAGTAAACTAACTTAGTTCTTCGTGACAGACCTTTATCTACTAAATTACATCTATCAAAGTGTTCTGTAAAATGAATGGAAATCCTATAACTGTTAGGATACTTGAGTAGTTTTTAAGTATGTGTATATAAATTGGCTTTCACAGTGGAACTACCATGAATAATGAAGAACTGTCAGTCACACTTTGAGGTCTTGCTGGTCTCACAAGAGATTTCAAGAGATCTCTCCCTCTGCCCCCCCAAGGAGGGAAATAGCAAATGGTAATGGAGTATAATGGGGAAACAATAAATTTAAAAATTATGATAGAATCTAAGTCCCTATGCACCAGGAATAACAACAACAAATGTAAAGGAGTAAATGCATCAGTGAAAAGACAGTTGATTAGATTTGAGTTTTTAAGTTCGTTATAAGAGAACATATAAAGCACAAGGATGTGGAAAGGTTGAAAGTAAAAGGGATATAAAAAAGATAAATCACCAGGAAGATAAAAGTTTTATGTGTGTGTACCCCTAATGAAATAGCCTCAAAATATGTAAATCATAAATTAATAAAACTAAAGGGAGACTTGAGGAAATCTTCTCTTATAGGGAGAGATTTCAACACACCTTTCTGAATTATGTCAGGCAGACAAAAAGAATATCAACAAAGATACAAATGGTATGACACAATTACCTTAACAGAATTATACACATCTATACATAGAGACAGTGGTTCCTACCTTCATGTACTTTGCAGTCAGAAGGAGGATTTAGATAATTAAATTGTGATGAATTATGTATAGATGTATAGAATTACGCATTTAACACACTGTTTAAGTACATGTGGGAACATTTATGAAAGCAGGCTTCAATAAAATTAAGAGTAAGTATCCTATAGACCCTATTCTCTGACTGTTGCACAATTTAGAGTTAATAACAAAAAGATATATTTAGAATTTTCCAATCTCTCATGGACCAAGCAAGTTACTTTAATAATTTAGATTACTTAAAACTAAAATGATAATGAAAGTACTATACGAAGTAGATATGTGTAATACAGTGAAAGTGGTGTTTTGACAGGAGGTTAACTTTATGAATGTTGGTATAAACCCAAGGAAAGGAGCTGATAATAGTAAAGACTAGAAATCATTGGTATAGAAGACAGTTGAGAGAAAAAAAACAAAGCTAGAAGCTGGGTCTTTGAACAAATAATAAAATAGACAAATGGATGTTGAGATTCACTTTTTAAAAAATGAGAGGCAACACAAATAATACTTTGAATTATAAAGGGGATAATTGTTGATAGCTCCAGTTTCACATTTTATAAACTCCTCCTGTATAAAAATCTATAATTTTTTTTTTTACCATCTTTTGACTTTCTGTTACTCAGTATCTTCTACAGAGATGAAGGAAAAAGTAAAAAATTATATGTAACCAAAAGTGCCATTTCCACTGTGCAGCATTGGCCTTTTCCATCATTGATTGCTTTGCCTATTTACACCATGTTTCTTATAACTGATTTCAAGATAGAGTCCTGTTACTTAAACTTGATTCATCTTAAATTAGTAATTCAAACAATCTCTTTTTGTTTAATCATTGTGTGCCTCAGTTTTTGACAAGCTTTTTTTTTAAATACTTAAAAACCATGAAGACCCCTCATCCTCTTGAGATTACTTCAGATTCTTTTGTCAAGTCAGCTGACTAGAACTAGAACTCTCATTACCTGACTACTTCCAGAGTTAGCTCTTTGATTATTTTGCTTTATTTTAATCCCATTTCTCTATCATCCATCTCCTCTTGGTATAGCTACTGTGCCTAGGACTTTTTATTGTTTTCTTATTTCCGCCCTTCGGTATATCAAAACTCAGCTGTTTGTGCAGTCTTCTCATAACTTTTCAAAACTGAACTAAGGTAGTTTTCTTTATAACAGCCTTCATCTGCTTCTTTATACCACTTTATTCCCCACATTCCTTCCTTATAACACATTTGTATGAGCTAGTAGTACTTTATCATAAGCAATAGAATGATAGAACTTTAAAAATGTTTTGTAATTCAAGTAAGTTTTATTATAAAGGTGTATGTACTGTCTCTGAATAATTGAATTGATTTTATAAGTGAAAATTTAGAAGTACATGTGAAATGCAGTGGAACTAGTAAGAATTCAGGACTAAGATGATTTTTTTGTTAGTCTCCATTGAAAATCTAAGAAAAAAACATTACAAATACGTAACACTACAGTAAAAACAGTCGGGAAGAGTAAACTTGTTTTTAAAGATTAAGGAAGCTTTAAGTGAAAAAACATAGTTTTGCTTCTTTTCTGAATGGTACCTTAACACTTCCATAGCATTTTCTTTTTCAGACCTCTTTTATATTTAACTGGTTTATATTCTATACAAGTACGTATAACAAGATGCACGGAATTAGTAAATTGTGCATCTCTGATGTCAGACTGTGTACTGCAGTATACTAATCAAATTAAAAACATTTTGAGAGTAAGGATTTTGTTCTTGTTTCCCTGCTCTTCCATATTGCCTCTATGTCTCTGCTGTTAATACTCTAATACTTTGATTTAAGTAGTCAAATCAGACCTTCAGTTTAAAGTATATATGACTTATGAAATGGTCTTAAGTTGTGACTAGTGAGTAAAACAAAACATAGAGGGGCGCCTGGGTGGCTCAGTCGGTTAAGCGGCTGCCTTCGGCGCAGGTCATGATCCCAGGGTCCGGGATCGAGCCCCGCATCTGGCTCCCTGCTCAGCAGGAGAGCCTGCTTCTCCCTCTCCCACTGTCTGCCGCTCTGCCTGCTTGTGCTCTCTCTCTCTCTCTGTTAAATAAATAAAAATCTTTAAAAAAAAAAAAAAAAGTAGAGAACTCTTCTGTAATCTCAGATCGGCTCATTTAGCTTAAAAATAACTGCTACCTCAAGAAATAATGTTCTGTGTTTAAGCACTGTGCTTTGTGCTGGGATAGAGACAGTGGTTCCTACCTTCATGTACTTTGCAGTCGGAAGGAGGATTTAGATAATTAAAATAAATTGTGATGAATTTAAAAAGAAGTAAAGGATGAATATTTAATGAGGATCTGAGCCTTTCCAGAGAAGAACGATGATGAGAAAGGCTAGGAGGAATAATGAATGAGTTGGGAAATTGTTACAGATAGAACAGCATGCACACAGGGCTAAAGGTAAGAAGAACTAGCATGTCAAGGGGATAGGTTTTGTATAGCTGGAGCTTAAAGTGCAAGGAAGTACGGTACTAAAAAACCGTAACTTACATGAGGGGTAGGATGGTTCTTGTCTTACACTTGATTATCAGCACTAACAAAGTAGTTGGTATTGTACATCATCAAGAAATATTTTCAAAGAGGCTGGGGAGATTTCATTCCTTAATATGGCTTGTACCTTTCCTAGTCTGACCTTAAGATTTTAGGCAGGTAATGACATCAGATTTGCAATTTACAGAGTTCATCCAGGTGCTATGTGTAATAGAATGGGTTGGAGAAAAGTAGAAAAAATCCAGCAGGAAGATAAATTAAGAGACTGAGTTATGCAGATCAAAATATTGTGACAGTGAAAAGGGGAGAATGGAGAGATGAATTGAGGAATAATTAGGAAGAAGAGTATTCTAGGACTTGGCAGTTAGGTTGTGGGGCAGAAGGGAGAAAAAGTTACAGATGAGTACTAGTTTCTTGCTGCAACTAAGTGTATGACTTAGCAGGATTGGCAAGGAAGAGATTCATAATCAGGATTTTCATCCTATGAAAGAAACTGGCTTTTTTGCCAGAATGCTTGTCTAGTGCAATTAAATTTAATCTTGTCACCAATGGCTGTTGTAAACTTATGATTTATTTAAAAATCATAGAATTCAGTTATTTCTGCTATTCTAAAAGAAGAATTCTTTTTGCCTTGGACTTGTTAATATTCTTAATAGGCATTTTTTCTTTTTACAGCCATGAATCATCTTAATGGACAGAAAATGTATGGCAAAATTATTCGTGTTACTCTTTCTAAACATCAGACTGTACAACTACCTCGAGAGGGACTTGATGATCAAGGGCTAACAAAGGATTTTGGTAATTCCCCATTGCATCGTTTTAAGAAACCTGGATCCAAAAATTTTCAGAACATTTTTCCTCCTTCTGCAACCCTTCACCTATCCAATATCCCGTAAGTATGAAAGTTGGAGTTTAAGGCTATACATTTTAAGAATAAAACCTAAAATTTATTATTAATCTTTACCCTTTTTTTCCATCCAATTTTCCTAGTCCTTCAGTAGCAGAAGAGGATCTACGAACACTGTTTGCTAACACCGGGGGCACTGTGAAAGCATTTAAGTTTTTTCAGTAAGCAAGCTTTCTTGTTTTTAAATTAGTGACTTCATAGAAGTTAAGAGTTGTCTTCATAGTTTTTATCCTTTTTGTTTATGGGTAAAAATTCAAGTATTTAAGCCCTTCCTAATTTTTATGAAGTATCTAATTTCATAATTTTGTTTCAGAAGAGATCACAAAATGGCTCTTCTTCAGATGGCAACAGTGGAAGAAGCTATCCAGGCCTTGATTGATCTTCATAATTACAACCTTGGTGAAAACCATCATCTGAGAGTGTCTTTCTCCAAGTCAACGATTTAAAAAGGGGGAGGTGAAGAGTGAGGGTGTATCACATTGTTTGGTGTCATCACCTATTGACTGTTCAGAAAAGTGGGGACCAGAGTTTGATTTTTTTTGTTGTTTCTTTTTTTTTTTCATGCTGTTATCATTCCTTGGTTATAAAATGAAATGGCATACATAAAGGCAGAGTTGTTAACTGCTGTATTTCATCTGTTCTATAGGGAGGCCATTTTTATTGTATGTTTATCATTTTAGTTTAATTATACTTTCCTTTTTCAACTTAGTTGACATACGTGCCTTAAAAAGGAAAACTAGTGTTGCTATTGTGCATTTACTAGGAAAAAGGAATTGGTTGTCTAGGGCACATTGTTATATGGGAATTCAATATGTTTAGGCAGGGGTGTGTAAAAAGGTTAAGTTTTTGTTTCTCCTGCTTGGAACTTATTTAGAATTATTGGCTTGTCACATTTCTTTCTATTTAATCAAATAAGATACATGATACTGAAAGAATTAAAGCAGCATTTTTTAGTTTTTACTACCTTAGGCTTTCTTGCTTTAAAAAAACATTGGCCTTTTGTATCTCACAATTCTGGTCTAGATTCAGTTATGAATGTAGGCATTAGTTAAAATTAACAAGATGCAGAGTATTAATTTCTTAAGACAACAAAGTGATTTCTGTAAGTTTGAGCCCTATGTGGAAAGCATTGTGGAATCTTAACCTTTTTGTACACACTCTTGTGGGACGTATCATATAAATGTCAGCACTAAGTAATGTCTTGTTTGTGGCTGAATATTTTTCGTAGATGTTTTTGAAGTTGACATGACTTACGTGCATTTAAATATATATTGCCATCCTTAGTTTGTAATTAAGATTTGGAATATGGTTGTGGATTTCTGAGCATGTGCAGACTGGTCTAGCTAGTTCAGGAACTGGTGCATGTATTTTTCAAGGATAAAGAAAGTGTACTGCGAAAATTTGCAGGAAGATTAATTTTGTGGCAGTTTTCTAAAACTGACAACCAGGTGGGACCAAAGTTTATGTGCCTTTAGTCTTAATTTACCTTGCATTGTAATATTCAGTTTTAATAAATCTTCAAAATATTTTGTATTTAGGAATAGATCTGACTTTAATAAAAACATGGCTCAGAATCTACAGGTCAAATTAATTTGAACAGTTCTTGTCAATCTGAATTGTTGATTCTGTTTAAATGACCAATACTTTTTGAAATTGATGTACTTAGTTTCAAGATTCATAGATTCTGTTATCTATGTAGACAGAATGGTCATGTATATTTTCTATTAGTTGAGTTTTTACATCTTTAGAAATGTAAAATTCAGTATAGTTTGAAAGTGGCACAATTAAAAATTAATTTTCTAACAAAGTTGGGAGGTTTGATGGTTGTTTAATTTCCTTTTGTGTGTACTCTGCTTACCTCTGTAGCATGCTCAATAAACACTTCTGTAGCTCTGTATTCACCTTTTCTGTCTTTCTCTGCTGCCTTTTCTCTCTCCTCCTCTTTGTTTTTCACTCCACTGTGCTTCTGAATTCATGTTTATTCTCTGCCAGGGTGGGAAAGGAGTAATAATAAATATTACAATTCTATGGCTTTATACCATAAATAAATCTAGATGCTGTGAAAATATACCAGCTGTTTTTTTTTTTTCTTCTTAATTTAAAAGACAGTAACTGCTTTTCAGGAGGACACATATTAAACATTTCCCACCCTGTTATAATCTACTGCTTTAAAGACATAACTTTTATTGTATCTTGTTAATTCTTTCTATCTCTTTTGTTGTTGTTTTTTTTTTTTTTTAGTAGATTTATGCACTAATAGATCTTTTGGATTTGCCATGCTCTCTTGCTGCAGTTTCATCTTTCATCTTTTGTGTCTGCTAAAGATTTCCTACTAATCTTAGATTACCTTGGAAGTTTTAACAAAGAGTACTAGATGTTATTGGGAAGAAACAAACAGTAACATTTGGTCTGTTTTTGCCATGGGTGGGAAGATAATACATTCAGGTATTTTAAAACTTAAGGGTAATTTGTGATGTTACAACTTTTTTTTTTTTAAGAGTTCAGTTAAGGTGCTATTTGTGTTACTCATAATATTTTTGGTCACTTTTTAAAAATGTATTGGTGTCAGGTAACTTTAGAGTTAATACATATTCTGTAGGTTTGTTTTGTTATGAAATAACTAAGAATTATGCAAAACTCATACATTAGGAGAATAAAAAACAAAAACTTTAAATGTGCCATATTAATACAATTCAGTTGCCTCCAAGAAAGAAGAATGTAGTAAATAAAACAATTGCTTACATTTGAGTCAGCAACATTGGGGTTCTTTGGAAGATAGGTGATCTCATATTTTTTCTTCTTAAAATGGGATTGTACTAGAGAAGCACTCAAAGCAACAGCAGATGTGCCTAAAGTATGTAAAAACCAATACCATGGCTAGTGAATAGGAATTGAACAAAATTTGTTCTAAGTGAACTTTTTTCTCAGTATTGGGTGGTGGTTGAAACACCTGAAAGTAGGTACTTAGCCACCTTTCAAGTTATTCTTTGTGGCTGGCTTTGGGTCGGAAAAAGAAAGGAAGGTCCTGAAATGTGCATGGGAACTGGATTGCTTCAGTCGCTGAGCTGGGGAAAGTTCACAATACCTCTGATGGAGGATAACCAGACACCAAAGTTCTTCCTGCCCAGGGAGTGGCAGATTCTTCAGTCTCTTAGAGTACACTGTGATACACAGCCTGCCTTCCAAAGCACCAAGTCAGTGAAGTAATTTGGACATTGTAGAATATTTAAAATTTGGTACCGTAACCCAGTCCTTGTCATATGTAAGTTGCTGAAGTGCTAGGTGAAAATACTGTCAGCATTATCATCATTATTACCACTATATGCCTCAGTCTTTTACAGTGAACTAGCGAACAGTGAAGTGTTCTTACAACTTAGCTGCTTGTTAATAGAAGCCTTACCTTGAATACTTAGTTGTTTGTTTTTATGGCTGCACTAGAAAACCTATTTTTTTGACATTAAGATTTATTTGGAAATGGGTTTCAAAGCACCTACTTAAGGAATGGATTCATATGTATTTATATTGAATGTTATATTTAACATGAGAAATGTCATAAATAACATTAGAAATGTCATTTGGAAGCCCCTAAGAATACCTTGGCTTAACCAGGAAGGGTAACAAATCATTCTCTTCATTACATTAGGAATATATTAACTCAGACTTTTGAGGCATTTTAAGATTTAAGGTGATTCTAATCAAATTACAATAAACTTACTTTGTTCCTGTAGTTCTATATGGATCACCATATAGTTTCTAGGCAAAGGACAAGTCATGTTTCTAAGCCTCAGTAGCCTTCATCTATAAAATGGAGGCAATAAATTCTGCTCTGCCCACCTCACAGAATTATTGTGAAGCTCAAACAGAATAAATGCAGAAATGCTGTGTGGTAAACTGCTATGTAGGAGAAAATGTAACACTGTCAAAGTTCTAGGACTGCCAGATTAGCCTGTAGTAAACTTATCCACAATAAATCTTATCCTACTGCCTTTTTTTTGCTACAAGGAAGTATTTTTTAATGGTCTAAATTTTTTTTTTTGTCAGTCCAGTAAAGCAAAAAGATGGAGAATGAGGGTACGTAGGTTTCTATTGTAGCTGTTTCTAGAAAATCTTAATTTTAAGCAACAGTATTAGAATTTGTGTACTAATTAAAAAATATAAAATTAAGATTTTTGATATTCTAAAATACACTCCATTTACGTTTTTTTTTTTACTTTAGGTTTTGCAAATTAAAGTATTACACATGCTGAAATGTCAGATTATTCACATTAAGGACAAAAAGAATTGTTCAGATATGCAGAAGAATACAGAGAAAATCGAATGAACACCTATGCACTTAGCACTTGATTCTTTCACACGTAACACTTTCCATACTTTGTGCATAATTTTAATATATGACTTAAAAGAAAACTTACAGATTGAATTGACATCCCTCTGTACTTCTTGATCTAATCGCTACACCATCCCTTCCCCGGAGGTAATCATTATTTGAATTGAGTGTTGTTTTAATTCAGCGGTTGCTCTTGTTCTGTATTCTGTAGCTTAAATTTTCTCTGCACATATACTCTAATATTCATGATGTTTGGATGGTATATTTTGTCCCAACACACAAACATATTTTAAGATTGAGATATTTGGACATCCATACGCCCCTCATCAAATCTCATGACATTTAAGGTTTTTAAATCAGTTTTTTAAAAATAAATATTGAATAAGTTGTTGGAGTAGTAAGTTTCTCCTAATGTAAAGATGTAAAAAGTTAGCAAGGAACTGTTGACAGTATCTTAAAAGCTGAAATTATGTGTAAGATTCTTAAATACAAATATATCCTTTCTAGCTACCCATAAAATCCACCCTTGTGACTTCCCTCCCTCCCCACCATTTCAGTGGAAAGGTGCTTGGCATGTTGTTTTCATCCCTTTAATTGGTGTTAGTGTTGTATAGGATTTTTTAGTGAAGGCATGTTACTTTTTATTATGAAACATTTCAAACATACAATAGAAGATTATAACCCCCATCATTCGACTTCATTTACCAACTTTTCTTGTTCCTTTACGCACTTTTAACCTCCCATATTAACACAAATCCCAAATATATTTCATCATCAGACCTCCTGGTATATTTTCCTTGCATTCCTCATCATAGTCACTATTCTATAATAACGTCTGGGCTAGCCTCACTTGTCAGCATTACAATTTCTTCAGATCCTAGAAGCTTGCTACTAAAAATGCAGCCCCCAGATCAGCAGCAATTAGTATCACCTGGGAGCTTATTAGAAACTCAAATCTCTGGCCCTGTCTCTGACCTGCTGAATACATTTTGACAAGATTGGCAGGTGAGATCCATTTGGACATTAAAGTTGGAGAAGCATTCTAGCAGAATATACTTTTTTCAGTTTCATGAAAATCAAAATTTTTTTTTCTAATGCGAAAATTTTATTAGTAATTTAAGTACTGTTAATAACATTAAAGAATAACTGTAGAACTAAAAAAGACCCTATATATGTATTATAGTTTCTAACCTCGTTTTAAATACAAACTTCTAAAGAAGTCAAATGAATAGTTTACAACATATTTCTATTGACTGACCTGTAATTAGAATACAGGTCCTTGGGTTCCCAGTCCAGTCCTCCAGTGTGTTCTCCCAATTACAGGAAATACAGGCCTGCTGTTATCAAATTAAAACTAATTTAGTGTACAAGTTAATAGGTAAATAGCTATTAATAGAAATCAATATTTTTTTTATTTCTAAACATCAAATTTAGCTTGACAGGGAAAGAAATTCCATGTGAATTGATTTTAAACGATTAGAAATTAACACTCTTCTAAGTGCTGACTCATAGTATAATAAAAGTATGCCCTTGGGTCATTTTAGTAAAGAGGCAGCTTTTCTATTCACTGAATGCTTCTTCAGTCCATTTCCCGACTCCAACTGGATAGCAGTTTCATGGTTGAAATACCTAAGCTTCGCTGAGTAATATTGCAGATACAGTTAGAGCTGTGTAGATACAGATTTAACTTTGCCATAGCATGCCTTTAGGGACTCTTACATATTCTTAGCATAGTTCTTAATGTTCTTGTGACTAGCAGTTTTCTCCACTGTCCTGTCTTGAATTTTTCCTGCTTACCAACTCTATTGCTGTCCCTAAACCTTGCTGCTTTAGCTGTCATTTACACTGTTTATTTCTTCATTTTTCATCCATCCTCTTCTTTGCGATTAAGTTTCTTGCTCCTGTGACTTTGGTTTTTATAACCATAACCAACCACTGACAAATGATAGTGTGTTGTATATAATATTCAGATGTTTCCCTGTTTTTGTCTGGTTCAGCTTAAATTCCTTTTATTTTGCTTTTTAAAATTTTGGGATTGTAACAGTTCCAGATGGTTCAAATCACAAAATCTTCCAGAAACCTGAGGCATTCATGTATTTATTGCTATGTTTAATTCTAGTGGAGGGGAATCTGTCGAAGAATTGTGGTAAAAGAGCTCCTTTAGGGAGACTTGTAAACTTCTAAAAGGTGATTTCAATTCATTTACTCATGATTCCAAGAAAGTAAAGCATATATGTTCAAAGGAATAATATTTTCTAAAGATGTAAGTGAAAGAGCTCCAGGGGGAAATAACATTACAATAGTTCTCTCTTCCCTAAGTTTGGAATTTTATGTGAGATACTGTTTTTTTTTTTCTTTTTTTCTGGAAAAAAGCATAGGCATTGATGCTAGACTAAACTGTATTCAAGCCTTATTCTACCTAGTAGCTGTGAAACCTTTACAAGCCTTAACGTTCCCACCTGTAAAATGGAGATAACATGTACCTCAAATGTGCACTCTGGGGGATTTATGTGAAATACAGTTTCATTCCATTGAAAGTTTTTCTTTTCTCTTGCTTGGGGATTTTTCACCTTCCATTTATGGAAGGTTTTTTTTTTTCTGTAAATATTAGACCTCTTATTAAAAAGGCATTTATTGGACACTTGCTACGTGCATTGTAGGGAATACAAGGAAAAATAGAACCACAGTACAGCTTTGTAACACTTGGAAAAGGCAAATTTGTTCCAACATATTTGATAAGTATTGGAATTTAAGCATTACGTGACTTATGTGCAATTTCATCATGGGAAACATTGATAAAAGCGAAAAACTGTACCCAGCTAAACGAGCTGTGTAGAAATATGTAGAAATTTACATAAAATGTGCTCATGTATACTCCTCAGACATCTGTTAGCTACTTCAGTTCTCCCCATGTATTAGGTGCCACACTTAATCCACATCTGGTGTTAACTTTTGGCCCAGTTTGAGATAATTCAACCAACACTTTACAATAATAACTAACAAGCTCCAACACCACTTCCTATACGCACTTCTACAAAAGCGACCTAAGATCTTTTTCAAGATGAAGTCATATTTATAGCAGTATTTATATATATTTTTAACCACTTAACATATGTAAAACTGTGCTGCCATTTTTTACTGTTTTTACTTTTATGTTCCTGATGAAGTTTTTGAGTTGTGCCTCAACCCCATTTTTTTCCCATTTTAAGCCCTGTGGTTTTTATTTTGTGATTTTGCATATGGGGAAGTTTCTGGAAATGTTTATGCTATGTTATAGTAGAACTGTCTACTTTCAAGGAGCTTCTAGTCTAATTCACATTATGACAAGACAGTATATGCCAAAATATTGGACACTAGACATCAGAAAACAGAATTTGATGTTGGGTATCACCATTTACTGATCCTGGTAGCTAGCTGGAGCAAGGCTAGTTAGTTTTCTGAGCCCCTTTTCTCGTTCATATCCTTTCTGTTTTACGGGGTTATTTTTAGTTTCAACCAAGATAATTTATGCAAGCACTGTATAAAATATCAACCCCTGTAGAAATAATAGCTTTGGGAATGTCTGTAGTGGTAGAAAAATTGCCTTTTGGGCCAATTTTAAGGTGGGGTGATTATAAAAATTTTTCTGAGCTAATGGAGATATTTTTTAACCTCAAAGCCCATGCTCTTTTT